CAGCCTGTCTTCAGCTATTCAAAGAAAGGGTATCTGTAAACAAAATGTTGAATTAAGAATCGACATCACTGCACTCGGGACACTACCATAAGTGCTCAGTCGCAATCCTCAACAGCAAGCGAAGAGTTCCAATTCCGATGGTACCAGTAACCGTCTGATTGAATATGCGTCTCATCCTTAACCTGAGTGTTGAGAGTCGGCCAGATCCCCTGGTAACTCCTTGCAGCGCCATTTTCCATAGACCGTTATGATCTATCTGTGCCTCTGCACTGTTTACTCGCTCCCAACGGATCCTCACAATATCTAACTTGTCATACATCAATTCACCACCAAGTGGTACAGAGCGAGTCAGTCTATCTTACTGCTCATTTCCCAACACACCGGCATGACCTGGACAAAATATCCAAAGGATGCTAACTGTATGTAAACAGAATATGAAAACCCTTGGCGTACTACAAAAAAATTTGGGACAGGGTTGCAGCAGACAGTCATTCCTGGATAACATATTTCCGAAACGAACTGGTGAACTTTAATCTGATCCAACAAACTGACAAGTGACATCATCATTATCATGAGTCATGCCAACTGGCGCAGGCGCTCATGCGTCTCCACAGATCACGATCCCTGGTTGACTGGAGCAGCTCTCTTGATGCCCATCCAGCATCATCTCTCTTGGTCTGCCTCTACCCCTCTTTCTGCTGATCTTTCTAGTTGTCACGATGTTCTCTAATGTCTTTCATGTCATTATGTGGCCAAATAACAGTGTTTGTCTCTTTCTTATTGACAAGTGACACAAGTATAAAATGCAGTCATCTTACAGATGCTGACATAAATTATGACAGAGATAAAATACATCAAAAATACGATTCAGTCTTGTACAAATCCCGGCAACCACAGTTAAGACAGTTATACTGGAGCACCCCTGGACAGTTAAGAAGTAATATGTAGTCCAATATAGTTGGGTGTGAGAGATTGTCACTCTCGCATCGGACTATTTAGTCACCAGCGGCGCTTTGGACAGGGCCTTTGGTAACCCTGGGTGCCCAAGTATAACTGTGTCGTTAGTTGATGTTTCACCATCACTGCAACGGCCCGCCCTGTAACTGCTCCGATCTGTGCTAGTGGAAATAACAAAATGTGCTTCACTGTTCCATCTGAAAACTAGTTAGCAAACGTGTCAGTCCCAGCAAAATCAAGAAGATTGTCCGAGCAAAATAAAAAATGCATAAGGCAGCTGTTAGATGTGCCGATACCAGAATTGCAGCTCACCATTAGGGCAAACTGTCAATCACGAAAGCCGGCATTGCACCCACAAAAGTACACTGCCAAGGAGGGGGGAATTTGCGTCCACAAAAGGTAGCTGGAAACAACTTTTTGAGCGTCTGTGGTCGGCCGGCCATCGGCTGTGACAAACGGTTAAACGGTATTTCTTGCACTTCTACCTGAGGAATTCTCACCAGTATAGTGCCTCGTTGAGTCACTGTGAATTAATCGCCCAGAGATCATCCTAGAGGTGTTCAACTTCACTCCATCGCGCACTGGCAGGTGCCTGCCCAGCTGCACAACTCTATAATCCTTCTTCGGGTCTGAAAGAGGACTACTTACGTCCGACTCGAGTCGAGTCCGACGTGGACTAAGTATTAGTGAAAAAGGCCTTGTCACCGCAAAATCCATAACTTTGGTAAATGTAATTGTATTCTGTAAAGCTGATATATACTTAATATATTCCAGTTTGTTTATCATATATTTTACCTAGAATGGTAATCATAATTCGTAGAATATACCTCTTTTGGTTGCTGTTACATCAGGAATTTCCATGGATTACGTGTTGGATATACCGAATTCCCCTTACATTTTATGTAATACCCAGGGCCGCGGTTTCGGAACTGCATTTTGACATTGAGAAAACTACAAGTGTTTAATTAAAATCCACTTTTAAATATGACACAAACAACTCCTAATTTCATACATTAGAGCTTTGCATGTGCAGGTGTGATAAGAAAACTGTTTCAGCGAATGTTACAAATATGGGCACTAGTCCGGGGCCCCATTTTGGGGGAAACAAGTATAGACCCACTGCCCCACCCCCTTATGGTATGTTCTAAAGAGCAACTAAATAAAAGTTTGTTGAAACTTGATACACTGGGTCGAAAGGCGCAGGCATCACAACTTAGCGGTAGGGATTACAATATGCCAGCCACAATCCTGGCCGCGTCCATTATTCTCAATGTTAAAGTGAAAATGACTTGAGTGTCAGTGTATTTTAAATGTTTGCTTAAAAAAAAAAAAGCAGAACAAGACCTCTTTATTATTTTTAAATGAAAAGCTGTCTTTGCTTACTTTTAGCGCCACAGATTTTTGGATATGTTTAGCTTTTGCGAGGATACTAAAAGTCTATATAGTTCGATAAACTGAGTTCTATAGGTAACTGAAACTGAAAATAAAACCGTGGTGCTATTAATAACGTATTTCTGAGAAACTGACGTCCCACATCCACGATACACCTACACCCTTCAAGATTTAGTTAAAGAGACGACAGTCTCATAAAACTACCCATGTATGTAGGCGCGTCATTTACGGCAGTATTAGTTTATGTATAGTAAGTATTTTGTCAGAATTATGGCATTTGTTTAGATTCTACCTAACGGGCGCAATGCTTTTTGTTTTTTAAATTCTTGACAGATTCGAAACGAAAAAAAATTTCTTCATTTCTCCTGAAATATTAATTATATAGTTGTGTGATATAAGAGTTATTCTCAGTTGTTTCATTTTCACATTTAAGTGTCAAGAGATATCATTTTAGGTTTATGTCGTATAGTATATATTTGCTTTAAAATAAAACATCACCACACCAACTTACGTTTTGCACATAAGTAAATTTACTTTTTAATATTTTATTACAGATATAATTCGTACATATACACTTTTATTACTTTATTATTGTAATAATATTACAATTTCAGTTTTAGTCAGTAATCAGTCAGTGAGCTTTTTAATGGTATGTCGTTCCAGGATTGTTCTAATTCAGGCTATAGAAAACACAGTATACACAAATTACACCCAAAGGTGTAACTAACTAACTTTTTTCATTTGATTTCTACAATAGACTTGTTCTGTCAGGTCGACCCAGCCTACAACAAGTACAGAAAATCTACTAGAAAGAAAAGGTGGATGATATCATATTGACCACATTACTAGTACTGAAAGAGTTAATTAAATAAATCTTAATTAAAATGTTTTATGATCTCACAGGCGGTGACCCTGAAGTCAAGGATGTGACTATAGATGCCCAACACAAAGTTGAAAGTTGAGGGTCTCCCTCGGGATGCAACAGTGAGTCAGATCACAGTGTTGTTTTCAAACAAGAGGAAACTAGGAGGTGGCCCTACTGCGAACATTGAGCTTACTAAAGGAACTGCAATTGTTACTTTTGAACACAGTGATGGTGAGCAATATGTGAAACAATACAAATTACATTTCTGTCTTATATAAATAATTACACGATATTTAAAATATTAAATAACAAACATATACTCTCTTGATTAACACTATATACCCCCAGTTATAACCGTGATGGTTTAAGAGGATATTTTAAAAATATTATTATTACTACTGATGATGAACACCTCATCGAAGTGTGCAAAAGTTTATACAGTGATTGTAGAAGTGTAGTTAGAATAAATCAGGAAACATCTCATCCTTTCACAGTGACATCTGGAGTAAGACAGGGGTGTGTCTTATCACCACTGCTGTTTATCACCTACATCGACAGTATATGCAAGAATGCCAAGCCCATGAATGAAGATCTTAGTAAGATCAACGAATTACTCTTTGCAGATGACCAGGCCTTGATAGCAGATACAGCCATGAAATTGCAACAACATCTAACATCCATGAATGAAGAATGTAAAACAAATAATATGAGAATCAACACTGAAAAGACAGAAGTAATGTCAATAGGAAAAAAGAAGACATCTAAACATAGCAATAGAATACAAAGGCATTAAACAGGCATCTGAGTTTAAATATCTGGGAACTACATTTACCGAAGATGGGAAATTGGATAAAGAAATTGACATTAGATGCAGTAAAGCAAACCAAGTATTGGGACAGCTAGCCCCCCTCTTGCAGCATAAGACAATCCCAATCAGCTCAAAGAGACATCTTATTCAAAGCATATTTATTCCAACTCTGTACTACCAGTGCCAGACATGGTCACCCACAACAAACCATATAAGAAAATTAGTAACCACGGAAATGAGATGTCTGAGAAGGGCTGTAGGAGTGACCATAAGAGATAAGATCAGGAATGAGATCATAAGAGAACAAGTCAGCACAGAACCAATTCTGGATTACATACAAAGACAGCAAGTGAAATGGTTTGCCCACTTAGAGAGAATGCCTTGTGACACCATACCATACAAAGCATACATGGAAAGAGAAGGACTTAGAGCACGGGGTAGACCAAGAAAACATGGAAAGATAACATCAGAGAAACTCTACAAAAGCACGATGTGCCTATGGTCGAGGCAGCCAGAAGAGCTAGAAACAGAACTTTATATCTCCCTCGACACCCACAGCGGTAAAAGAGGAAGTGAAGAAGAAGAAGAAGAAGCCCAGATGGGAGGGAGAGTTCTCCCAGCAATGCTTGGAGTTTTGAACGGTAGAGGATTACATTTCACACACATCTGCACACACAAAAGTCGAGAGGATCAAACTTAATTGCATCAGATTTGAACCCATATGACTCCATCTGTTTCTGAAAAAAATAGCAAGCTGCCAGCAATGATTCCAACAGGACTTCGTAAAAATTGTACTCACAAGCTGGATAACACAGACAGGAGAAATGAACCATGACCTTCCTTCAAAGCATCAGGCGAAAGGAGTTACCACAAATTTAAAAGATATACGTGAATTCACAAATGGATTTCAAAGTTTTATTAAACCAAAACATTCACATCTGAAAAGACTTCACAAAATGAAATTCAAGTGTATTAGTTTCACATGCTGAATCCATCCCCAAAGATAAGATCGATAGCTAACTGGATATCTCCTCCAGTAGCAGCAAGAGCTTGTCGAGCAACATTCTCATCGGTAATGCCCATTTCTCTGAGCTGCTGTAATGCTGCCTGGGGAAAAAAAGAATGAAGGGAAACACTAGCTTAAAGTCAATAAGTCTGTAAGAAAAAAAAATTATAATCATTTCCACAAATTTTTTGCTGTTGGCGTCCGGCCTAATATGGCGAACAGGCTGCCAGTTCACTAAAGCCTTGAAGTATTTTGTGTGTGTATATGCGCGCTTTTAGCGAGTTTGCTAATGCAGTTTCCAAATGTGGACTGCAGTCCAAGATTTTGTTGCTGAATCTACTGAGTTAAGAGCCTGGTGCAACATTGCGAGTTGCATATTTTGTGTGGAATGCATTTTATTTGTGCCTTGGTAATCAGAAAATGTTTGGTGGCAGGTCTGGTTAAGTGCCTTATGCATTAATATTATGTGCACAGCCAACTTGTCATGACTGACTACTTCCATCAACAACAAAATGCAATTCTGGTAGTAGCTGTTGGCACATTTAGTCACTGTCTTATACATTTACTGTGTGTGCAATTTTCAGGATTTGCCAGGACTGTTTGCTCACTGGATTTTATATGAAACACTGAACGGCATTCTGTGTTATTTTAACTGGCACAGGAACAAAGCAGCCTCCTCCTCCTCCTCCTGTTGCTGCTGCTGCTACTACTACTACTAATATAGCTGATGGTGCTTTCCTGGGATGTGTTCTGCCAGGTGTCAAAAGATATAGGCACAATGTTTACAGAGATGACTTCAAGTCAGTGGTAGGGTTCTTCTGCATTTTAAAAGGGTAGTAGATACACTATGTTACGGTTTAAAGCTGCACTGTGATATCTGCACCTGGCCTAATATCCAAATGCAGCAAATCCTTTGTTAGATGCATTTTATGATGTGCTTGTTTAGTCAGCATCTGTGGCTTGGTTGTTGTGAACCCGCTTTGTAATGCTGGGGTGCCAGGTTCGATACCAGCTGTGGGCCTTGTACTGGTCTCGACAGTAGTATCGAGACGCCAACCGTCCAGAAAGCAATAGAAAATTTGCCTAGAACAACTACAACAGCCAGAAAAATGCTGGGGTTGGTTCTGCAATGTCCTGTACAGTATTCACAACTAAATTTTTGTTTAGGGGATAGTGAGTATATTTATGTTCCTCAAAAAATGGGACCACAGTTACAAATAAGGTTTACTTTCCAGCAGTTGCAGGATTCCCCTCCTTTTCCCGATCAGCAAGGAATAGGAGGTCCCAGCCTCACAAACTGTGTACCAGACAATTAGCTGGTTTGCTCTGTTTGCTGCTTTTGTCAAGAAAGAACTTCAATTCTAGTAGTAGACTGTTGGTGCTGGCACCTCTGGTGGCAGCCTAACACAACTGTGCACACTGTTTAATTTTGCAAGGCTAATTTATTCATCTTCTTTAACTGTAACTAGAATTATCTAGGAAGAAAATATGAAAAAGGAAATAGTCACGTCACTTCGCTATGTCATGGCCTAAAATATGCCAAGGTCAAACCTCTTTTTACCACAATGGAACTGCTTTAGAACTACCCCTACCTTCCCCTCAGATCATCATCTCATAACCCTGAATGTGGGTCACAGGGTTGTCATAAGGGAAGTATCAGTAATAAGACCTTCACTGCTCTCTAAGTATCACGCACAAGTATGCAAATATTGCATCTTGCCAATTACTTAATGTTATCAGCTGAATTATTTAATGTTATCAGCTGAATTATTTATTGTTATCAGTCTAGGGGCTTATCTGTCTTCCTCTTCTCTGTCCCACAAAGGATTATCACCAGCTAGATAAAAACAAAACCTAGCCAACTAGAAATCATAAATTGTGTATCCTTTCCTGAGACTATGTTGTCTTCTCAGCAACCCATATCTCACTATTTATTAATGATTACTGTTGCTAAATATCCTCTTGCTGACTGGTGTGGGCCATCATGCCTCTCCACAATCTCTGATCTGCAACTGCGTGTATCAGTTTGTGTGCTGACACCCCTTCATGCCATGACAAAAGACTCAAGAATCTTCTCACGTTGTCTTCCTTATTTTTTTGAGTATCAAAAAGTAATGATCTATGGATGTATCTATCTATGTGTGTGTATATATTGTTCAAACCAAACAAACAAACAAAAAAAAAGAACTGCACTGTTATCTGATAGTGCATTTTGTTAAATTAGCTGATGGGGAAAGCCTGTATGACTGTATGACTGAAAATTACTGATGACCCAAAAAGGAAAAGAGCTGTCAACTGATTGGCTGAACCTTAAGGTATTCATGTGTGCCATGTGAACAAGTTCCCTCACTAAATTACAAAGATCTTGAATGTCAAAAGTACGATAAAATTATATTCCTTTCAGCAGCATGCATTTTTTAGTTTGTTTTAGGAACAGTAAATTTCAATGTGAGAAATACTTACATCCGATGAAGCACTTTGAGCATGGGCCATTGCTTGTTGAAAAAAGTCATTAGTTATGGTTCCACTGGATGATGCTGTGGGAGCCTAAATTAACAAGTCAAACAAGTAATATGCAGTCATGTGTGATAGATAGATAGATAAACGTTTAATAATTACAGATTATGCAAGCAAATATAGGTGTTGTTTTATAACTGCTTGCATAAAAACATAAACACTAAAAAGTGAAACAAGGTTATTTAGGCAACTCTGTTTTTTTTAAAATCAGTGTAACTGATTATGAATTACACATTATCGTATATTAATAATGTCAGCCTCTGTAACTTTGGCGCTGCGAGCGTGATGGATAATTTTGAGGTACCTGATTGGATTCTAGCTGCAGGTGATTTGGCAGCAGACTGCCTTGCCCTGATGCCAACAGTGGTATCAAGAGCCACCATTCAGGAGGCAATGGCAAACTACTGAATATACATATGCTCAGTAAAATCAAAAACAGACGACAGATGCTTTTGTTGGTGAAGCAACGTTATATATAGGGTAGGCAACTAACTTTTATATTAATAATACAATCTAGGTTTTAATGAAATGTGTACTAACAGTCTCATCGTTTGAATCACTTACAATAGTTAGACTAGTAGGCTAGTTTACCGAACAATAATAATAAAGTAGATGCACATTCTCGTTGAAGCAAACCTCCAATGTGGAGATAGCATAAAAACAAAATACAATAAATATTATTAATAACAGCAACTGTGAAAATGGTAAGTCATAAGTTCTAACTATGGGTATCATCTTCCAGCTCACACACACACAAAAGGTTTTACCATTTGAGAAGTTGAAGGCATGGATGTGGATGCTTGAGGAGACCCTGGCACTCTTCCAGAAGCTGTAGCAGCTTGCAGGGCAACTGCCAGCTGAGATGCGGTGATGCTTTGACCTGTCACATTCCTGCGTGCTCTTGCCTGTAACATGAATTTACAGTGAAAATTCCTTGGACGGAGATGTATTTGTTATTTAATATGTCACTCCTGTATTAAGTTACAGCTCACATATTGCTACAGGTAATCCTATGGTTCAGTACAAACTAAAATAATTGATTGATTGATTTGATTCAAGAACCGACATCACAGCACTGGGTGAATTCACATAAGCGCTCTGTCCCCATCTTCAGCAGCCAGCGAAGAGTTCCGATACTAATGGTGCTAGTAGCATTCTGATTAAACGTCTGTCTAGCCTTTTCTCTGAGCCTGGAGCATCTGCCAGAACCTCTTGTCACCCCCCACTACATCAATCTCACCAGCCTGTGGTGATCCATCTGCTCCTCCAAACTGTACATGCTCTTCCACAAGGCACTAACCATGTCTGCCTTATCATGTATCAGTATTCCACCAAGTTGTGCAGAGCCAGCCAGTCTGTCCGCTTGTTCATTCCCCAACACACCGGTGTTCCCGAACTAAGAGACGAAGTCCAGACCTAAAAACACTTTGAGTCAATAAGTGGGAAAAGACCAATAAGAGAAATTAAGGCAGGCAATATCTGCAGCAAAGAACCTCAAGGGCTCGGAAGGCCAACAAAAGAATAGGAAGAAAAAAAGAAGTGAAATTATATCCCTGCAAATATCTGATCTGACACTTCGCCGAGGTACAAGGTGGAAGAGAAGAAGAAGGAATATCTGATCATGGTGCTTTCAGGTGAGGTGGCTACTTCTGTGCTGAAGATTTGTCCCCCTAAACTGTTATCCACCTTCAAGACAAAGCTGAGCCCAGAACGGTACACTGTTAGACAACAAAAATTAGAGATTTAATTCACAATGCTATGCTGACAACTCAGTGCATGATCCCTCATCCTTTTTTTAAAACATTCATAATCATCATCATAATTGTTGAGTCAGCAGACCAACTGGCAAGCAATGCAACAACACATTTTGGGAAGGAATGGACAGAGCAGACATCATCAATGCTGTACAAACTGGGCTGGTGGATACTGACAAGTCTCTTACACTAACACAAATGCATGACATAGGAGTAAAGCATGGTGAAGCATGTCTATTCTGCCTTTGAGGCCAAAAATGAATGTTGAATTAAGAATTAACATGACAGCACTCTGGACACTCCCATAAGTGCTCAGTCCCCATCTTCAGCAGCAAGCAAAGAGTTCCAATTCTGATGGTACCAGTAACTGTCTGATATCCACCCCATCCTTCTCCTGAGTGTTGAGTGAAGGCCAGATCCCCTGGTAACTCCTCGCAGCGCCATTCTCCTTAGACCATAATGATCTATCTGCACCTCCACACTGTTTACTCGCTCCCAAAGAGCCCTCACAATATCTTTGTCATACATATTCAAGGCCAAGATAGGAGACATTATAACCAAACTCTCTTGGGAACAATTAGTAGAAGTACCTTGGAATGGCTGCTGCATCGGAGGACTCAGCAAGCATAGGAATGCTCAACGTGAAGTGACGTTGATTGTGATAGCATAACAATCGGTAATCGGTCTAAAGACGAGACTGGTATATTAGTACACTAACTAATAGGCTTTACTAAAGCATACTTTACTATCAATGGATACACAATCAGACTATTACTGATACCATCATAATTGGAACTCCGTGCCTGCTGCTGAAGATGTGATGGAGAACATATGGGAATGTCCTAAGTGCCGCAATGTTGATTTTTAATTCACAATTCTTTACCATCTTCACCATCCTTAAATTAATCAGTATGAAGACTAGGCTGGTGTCTCAGTACATTATTATGTGTTTGCTTATATTCACCAGCTGCCAACTCTTGTGGAAAATCCTGGTTGTTCATCTATTTTTGGAATTTGGCTTCATTCCAGGTGTTTTGCATGTACATCCGTTTAACAGACCTGTACGGTCTGTTGCCACTATAGCATTCTCTGTCACCAGCGAGTTAGTCTGAAGTCTAGACTTTGTCTCAGTATCTTGTTCAGCATGCTTTACTATATCATGAATCATCAACATCAAGTTAGTCTGAGGGCTGATGTTGAAGCTGTCTGATCAAATCTCTCCATTTACTTTCTTGTTCTCAGCAACTTTCTTCAGCCCACGGAAAGTATGAACACCCAAAGTTCTTGTACTTTTTGGGCATCTTTTTCTGAACACCTTACTTCTGTCCAATATTTTCACTAAGTGTGCTCTACACAATCTGTTTCTCTTTTGTCCAACATTTTTACTTAAAGTGCCCTATACAATCTGTTCTTCTTTTGTCCAACATTTTAACTAAAAGTGCTCTATACAATCTGTTTTTCTCTTGTCCAACATTTCTTTTTTACAAAATGTTCTTTTATACAACCTGTTTCTTTCCTGTCCAATATTTTTTACTAAGTGTGCTTCATACAATCAGTTTCTTTCTTGTCCAATATTTTTTACTGTGTGCTTTATACAATCAGTTTCTTTCTTGTCCAATATTTTTTACTGTGTGCTTTATACAATCAGTTTCTTTCTTGTCCAATATTTTTTACTAAGTGTGCTTTATACAATCAGTTTCTTTCCTGTCCAATATTTTTTACTGTGTGCTTTATACAATCAGTTTCTTTCTTGTCCAATATTTTTTACTGTGTGCTTTATACAATCAGTTTCTTTCTTGTCCAATATTTTTTACTGTGTGCTTTATACAATCAGTTTCTTTCTTGTCCAATATTTTTTACTGTGTGCTTTATACAATCAGTTTCTTTCCTGTCCAATATTTTTTTACTAAGTGTGCTTTATACAATCAGTTTCTTTCCTGTCCAATATTTTTTACTGTGTGCTTTATACAATCAGCTTCTTTCTTGTCCAATATTTTTTACTGTGTGCTTTATACAATCAGCTTCTTTCTTGTCCAATATTTTTTACTGTGTGCTTTATACAATCAGTTTCTTTCTTGTCCAATATTTTTTACTGTGTGCTTTATACAATCAGTTTCTTTCCTGTCTAATATTTTTTACTGTGTGCTTTATACAATCAGTTTCTTTCCTGTCCAATATTTTTTACTGTGTGCTTTATACAATCAGTTTCTTTCCTGTCCAATATTTTTTACTAAGTGTGCTTTATACAATCAGTTTCTTTCTTGTCCAAAATGTTTACTAAGTGAGCTCTCAATAATGTGCTTATCTTTTGTCCAACATGTTTACTAAATGTGCTCCATACAGACTGTTTCTCTCTTGTTCAATATTTTCACTAAGTTTGCTCTACCTTCTACAGATCTTCCATAGATCAGGGTTTCATACTTTAGGATATGCAACACTTAACAAAGATCACAGGTGAAGCTAGAAACATGATTTTACAACAAAACTTGAGTTTTTATTCTTTTTGAAAACAGAACTAATTCATTTATGTTAAAGAAAAAGTACCATAAAATAAATTATCTATAATTTCATAATATTGCTATTCAATTTGTTCCCCTCTTTAGATTCAGAATTTACAAAAAAAAAAACGTTAAGTACCACTGAATAAATTTTTACCTGTGCCATGTCGTCATCATCTTCATCTTCATCAGACATTTGATCCATAGAGTATGTATGATTTCCTGAAAAATTAACATTGTATGAAATCTTAGAGCCATGCGACCACTAGGAAAGCCAGAGTTGTATTGTATGCTCAGGACATATGTAACAATGTTACAGACAACATTACCCTATTATTGTTTTACTAGGGCTCTTATGGTAAACAAAAAATACAATAAAACCTCATTAACATGAACTGCTTTAAGATGAACATTCAGTTAACATGAACAAAATGTTTGTCCCAGCAGGGACATTATAGTCATTAGTTCCCAGTTGGTACACATTTTTTTTAAAACACAAACTAGATTTTCTATCCCTTGGATTTGTATTAATGAAGCTTTACTGTAGTCACACTTTATCTTATCGGGGATTTAAGAGACAATTATGGGTAGGGCTGGGTAGTCACACTGCATCCTATTGGAGATTTAAGAGATGATTATGTGTAGGGCTAGGCTCAACTACTTGTAAAAGTTATAGTCCCCCACCCCCCCCCCCCCCCCAATTTTTTTTTTTAAATTGTTCTAGAACATTTACAACTTACCTGTACTAGATTTGGGACCAATCTTAGAACTTTCCTCTGTCACTGCAGATGCAATGGTAATAGCAGCTTGTGCAAATGATGGATGCAACTTCAGTAAACTGGGCATGAGGACATAAAATATCAATAACTTATAATCAATAACAAGTTTGAAAGTATTAGATAAACTGTGTTTCTAGTGTTAGACTGTTTGTGCTGGCACTTCTGACGTCTGCCTTATGCATTTAATGCGTGTGTATGTTATAGATGTTCTTAGACTGCAGTCAGTTTCAATTTTTTCATAAGGGTCAGTGATGGACATCATGTGATTTCCATTGGGATAGGAACAGAGCAACTATGGGGTGACCCGTTTGTTATGAAGTTGAAACTGTGATTACCTAGTATTCAATTAAGAGTTAAGAACTGACATGACAGCACTCCTGACATTCCCATAAATACTTTTTCCTCCATCTTAGGCAGCCAGTGCAGAGTTCCAATACTGCTGGAACCAGCTGTACTCTAATTATATTTTTGTCTTTCCTTTCCTCTAAACACTGAATGTTTGCTGGATCCTCTGGTCCCTACTATTTGCATTATTCTATTCAGACTGTGGTCAAGTGTTAAAGAAAGTAAAATCATTGTGAAATGATTGCATTAATGTGTCTTTTACAATCACACAGTGATTGTTGTATTTAAACACACACAACAACAAAAAAACTATTTTAGCTAAAATCAACTATGATTAAACTACAAGTGAGCAATAACAGATTAATAACAAACTTTTCCAAAGAATTTTGCCAGTTGTCACTGACTTTTCAAGTTTAGTCTGCTGATAACATGTCTGACTTTGTGACTAAAACAAATTGATGTTTCTTGCAAAATAACCTTGTTTGGTTCTCGAGTTCTTTGCATTTCCCTAAGACAATTTTTTTCTCTTCACATTTGATATTTCTTGGCTTATCAGTTTACTGTCCGTGTCTCAAATGCATGCAACACCACAGACTATTTACCTCTCATAAACACATGTTCTCATTTCAGTAGACTGCTTTACTGGTTAGTATGCCTTTCACCTTGGAAAAAGCTAATTCCACAATCCTGTCCTTTTATGTTTTCTTCTTTTTCTTTAAAATCACTGGCTGTAAACTCTAGTAGAAAGTTCTGTTTGTTCATCCACTTCTGGACTTTCATCTTGTTCCAGAACTTGAATTTTGCATGCACATCCATTTTAAAGATCTGGCTCTTTTGTATGAAGACTGTTGATTCCTCACCGCTCAGGTAGATGCACTGGAAAATAGGTTTTAATCTTCACAAGGCATATTGCGTAAATGTTCTTAGTTTACCAATTCTCCTGTTTAAGATCTTTGATCGAAACGCTCAGCTTTTTTTTTGTACATGTCTTTTCCATTCCCAGTCACATTCTATGTTGTATTTAGCACTGTTTAAGATCGGTTCAGCTGGCCCAAAATCAGTTAGCTAAATGTCTTCAGCTGTTGTGTGATACATTTCTATCCATGCCCATTTTGAACACAGGGAAATCATTGAATTTACAAATGAATCACACACATATTAACTAGGCATGCAGAAGAGCTTCTCTAGTTCACTCACCTATCTATGTTATTTGGATGAGCCAGAACAGCCAACAACTCAGGATCCTGCAGCATGGCTGAATAGTATACAGGTAGAGAAAAACAGAAATAATGTACATATATCATCAATGGAATTTCTAAAAGAAAGGACAAGAATATAAGCTGCTTTCCCTTTTTTCTAAATCCAAAGCACTCAACTCATTAAATGGAGTCATGTATTCCTTAGTCCAGACATGAGAAAAATGTGGCAGCAAACCAAGGAAAGAAGCAAAGTACACCACACAGCTTAAATAGAAACTGAACCAGAAGCAGTTCTCAACCAACTCACATCATGACTTTTGTAGACTTTTTTCATGATATGTTATTACTTGCAGCTAAAGTTCTCTAGGGAATGAAGGTGTCTGTCAAAAAAAAGTAAATTAATAAAGATGAAGAGCTGAAGATAACTGTGGTAGCTTTCGCTTGCAACTAAAAGTGTAGAGAGCTAAAAGAAAAGGTTTATTTCATGCATTCCACTCCTTCAACTCACAGACTAGTATTCCTCTAACTTGTTCTTTCATTAACAGTGGGTACTTAAAAATAATAGATGAATGGTCTATAAACCAAAACAAACAAAAAATACAAAACCCTTTTCAGATCACGGTGCGTATAGCACACACACAAAAAAAACAAAAAACGTTGGACTATAATATTTTATAAAGATAAAAGTGTCATTGACAGATGATGTGGTCAACATCACATTAGTAGCTTTTACTTTCCAGAACAGTCCTGGCACCCAAGTTAATCTGGGTCAATATGAGAACCAAGGTTCCACATGGGAAACCAAGAAACCACATGGGGAGTGTTGAACATAAATACATCACTTTGTTATAGACTTGAAAAGAAAGATGAAGAGTTACCTAAAAAAAAAACAGCAAGAATGATCTGAAAATTGTTTTAATGCAAAATCTGCTCACCCAAAACTGCTGGGTCTTTGTCAAGTCCAGGTGTAGCAGCAATGATGTTCTCGACTGTTTCTGGATGATTCAGCATTCCACCTACCTGTGAATAATGGTCATAAGAAGACAATGTAAGTAAAGGACCCTCTTCCACACCTTTAGGCGTATTGGGCATAGAGGGCTAGACCTATAATTTATAGACCAGTTGGCACTTGGTGGGCGATGTGTTCAGCATCACGCCAGCCACCTTGACTTCCCAGGACCAAATCTGGTACCCATTCAAGGCTGGGTCATCCTAGAAACCTAAGTCATTTTTTAAAGTCTAGCTCCGTAAGGACTTGAACCCACAACCTTCAGATCCATAGGCGAGTGTCCAGTCACTACACTATGTTGACACCCCTAAGAAGACAATCTGCATTATAAAAGAGTTCCCCTTCTTCTTCTTCTCTTCCTCTTGGACAACTTCATGTGTTGAGGGAGATATAAGGTTCTGGTTCCTCTTTTTCTCTTCCTCTTGGACAACTTCATGTGTTGAGGGAGATATAAGGTTCTGGTTCCTCTTCTCCTCTTCCTCTTGGACCACTTCATGTGTTGAGGGAGATATAAGGTTCTGGTTCACCTTCTTCTCTTCCTCTTGGACCACTTCATATGTTGAGGGAGATATAAGGTTCTGGTTCCCCTTCTTCTCTTCCTCTTGGACCACTTCATGTGTTGAGGGAGATATAAGGTTCTGGTTCCTCTTGGACCACTTCATGTGTTGAGGGAGATATAAGGTTCTGGTTCCCCTTCTTCTCTTCCTCTTGGACCACCTTATGTGTTGAGGGAGATATAAGGTTCTGGTTCCTCTTCTCCTCTTCCTCTTGGACCACTTTATGTGTTGAGGGAGATATAAGGTTCTGGTTCCCCTTCTTCTCTTCCTCTTGGACCACTTCATGTGTTGAGGGAGATATAAGGTTCTGGTTCCCCTTCTTCTCTTCCTCTTAGACCACTTCATATGCTGGGGGAGATATAAGGTTCTGGTTCCTCTTCTTCTCTTCCTCTTGGACCACTTCATGTGTTGAGGGAGATATAGGGTTCTGGTTCCTCTTCTTCTCTTCCTCTTGGACCACTTCATGTGTTGAGGGAGATATAAGGTTCTGGTTCCTCTTCTTCTCTTCCTCTTGTACCACTTCATGTGTTGAGGGAGATATAAGGTTCTGGTTCCTCTTGGACCACTTCATGTGTTGAGGGAGATATAAGGTTCTGGTTCCTCTTCTTCTCTTCCTCTTGGACCACTTTATGTGTTGAGGGAGATATAAGGTTCTGGTTCCCCTTCTTCTCTTCCTCTTGGACCACTTCATATGCTGGGGGAGATATAAGGTTCTGGTTCCTCTTCTTCACTTCCTCTTGGACCACTTCATGTGTTGAGGGAGATATAAGGTTCTGGTTCCTCTTCTTCTCTTCCTCTTGGACCACTTCATGTGTTGAGGGAGATATAAGGTTCTGGTTCCTCTTGGACCACTTCATGTGTTGAGGGAGATATAAGGTTCTGGTTCCTCTTCTTCTCTTCCTCTTGGACCACTTCATGTGTTGAGTGAGATATAAGGTTCTGGTTCCTCTTCTTCTCTTCCTCTTGGACCACTTCATGTGTTGAGTGAGATATAAGGTTCTGGTTCCTCTTCTTCTCTTCCTCTTGGACCACTTCCTGTGTTGAGGGAGATATAAGGTTCTGGTTCCCCTTCTTCTCTTCCTCTTGGACCACTTCATGTGTTGAGGGAGATATAAGGTTCTGGTTCCTCTTGGACCACTTCATGTGTTGAGGGAGATATAAGGTTCTGGTTCCCCTTCTTCTCTTCCTCTTGGACCACTTCCTGTGTTGAGGGAGATATAAGGTTCTGGTTCCCCTTCTTCTCTCCCTATTGGACCACTTCATATGTTGAGGGAGATAAAAGGTTCTGGTTTCCCTTATTCTCTTCCTCTTGGACCACTTCTTTGTTGAGGGAGATATAAGGTTGTGGTTCCCCTCTTTAGGCTGACTCGACCTTATACATGTAGTGCTGTTGTAGAGTTTGATGTTTTCTTTGCACTCTACTGCTACATTATATTTAGATTCTGCTTCTTTCTACTTGCAAGATACTGAACATAGGGTTTGCCTTGGGAAACCACAGCAGCCAAAAAATGCTGGAGTTGGTTCTGCAACATCCTGTGAAGGATATGCAACTAACTTTCTTTCACCACATTGACATTACTTCTCTCCTTTCATTGTCGATTTTTTATATTATTTGTTACAAATTCTACATCCACTGATGTGAGATGTAATTTTATCAGGTAACAAGATGTGGTCATAAGTGGTGTTCTTTGATGTTACTAATATTTTCATTCCTAGATTTGGAATCTTTTTTTTTGTACTTTCAATGTAGGTGATAAACAGGAGTGCGGATAGGACACATAACTGTCTTATTAAAAATATTACTGTGAATGGTTTTGATGTTCCCTGACTTATTCTACCACACTTCTACAAACTGTATATGAAGTTTTGCATTCTCTGAAGAGGTGTTCACTGATTCCATATCCAGCCATTACTTTATATAATACTTGTCTACAGACTTTGAACAAAGAAAACTCAAACCACAGAATGCGCAACATATTGCCTGGCTGTATCTCGTCAGGTGCATACTACAGTAACAACTGATTACAAAAGGATATGATCTTCACCATGCATTTACCCTGGTGAAACAGAGTTCTTGAATGTAGTGTGTTTTGTGTTTCATGTATTTACTTCATTTTAATCAAGTGTTACTGTAGTATGTACCTTAGTTAGTTATCATCATTGCACTCCTGACATTTCCACAGGTGCTCAGATCCTTTCCTTAGTATGAAGCTAAGCATCGGGTGGGTAATAGTACCAGTTCTATGTTGATTAACAAATCCTCTTATGTGCATGATATGCGTCTTGTTTTTTTGTTATGTTGATCTCAACTCCCAAGTCTATCATTCTGGCGAGTGATGTGGATTCACTGCCCTCAAAGTCCTCAACCCTTTCTAATTTCTCGGGGGGTGGGGTTAAAATATCAGCATGATCTATATGCTGACCATCGGTAGCCATAGTGGGTCTAACCAAATTATCAGCTCTTTCATTTCCACTGATGCCTGCGTATCCTGGAACGAAAAAAGGTGACTGCGTGCACAGTGGACACTTCTGTATTGACTCAAGCCAGTGCCTTCACACCGAACCTGCATGAACAGTCCAGATCATACTCACTGAATCATTGAGTGCACTTGCACGGGTGTAGTTTTATGTTTTGAGCCATACAAACGCTTGCATTACCGACATGAACTCCATTGTCATGCTGCTGGTTGTCATGAAGGCGCCATTGGCATATGTGCTTCTTTGATGACATTTAACGAATCTATCTGTGTAGATCCATACATCAGCCTCGCCTGACCTTTCCTTGATGACAGCGTTGACCTCTGCACCGATAGCGACAGGACTGATACTTAATTTCAATAGAATAAATTTTCCCCGTTTGATTTCCGGAGCCCTATTGTGGAGAAAACAAGAATAGACCAACTGCCTACCCAAAAGCATGTCGTAAGAGTTGGACTAATTGGGAGCTTCCTTCACAATCGGATTGCATCTGCCTGAGAGGCAAGGAACCAGCAGTCGGCATACAAATGAGTCCAATCTGTAAAACGGATGCACATGCAACACTCAGGTTCTGGAACATGACTGCTGTCCAGAAGTGGATTAACAAACAGAACTCTCCGCCAGAGTTTACAGCTGGTGAACGTGAAGAAGAAGAATGTAGTACATTTTGTGTTTCATTTCTAAGGATTCATTTATTTGCTTCATTTTAATCAAGTGTTAGTGTAGTATCTACCTTAATTAGTTAGTTAATCGGGTTATCATCATTGCACTCCGGACATTCCCACAGTGCTCAGATCCACCCACCTTGTAATATTATTCTGATGGCAAAACAAGGAAGATATACTTACAATTCTTTTGTAATCATCAACCAGCAAAGCAGATTTGATTGCCATGAAGACATCCCCTTTACTGGCAGAGCTGGCATAATCCTCTGACAATACAGGAAGAAATCAAGGAGAGACATGTAGTCAAGCTTTTCAGGTGTGGTTTTAATGTGTCACTGTTACTTAAATTAAAAACAATTGTGTTGTATCCACAATGGAGGCTGGCTGTAATGTATCCACTGCTTATGATGGGAATATTATGTGGTGACACTATTATCTCTTCCAAGGTGAAACTCTTGTACCACTGTCTGCTTCTTCTTCTTTGTGTCTACCGGCAGAACTTTAGTCTTTTTTCTAGAACATGAGTTTCATCTGCATATCCCTTTTACAGGTCTGGCTTTTTTTGAAAGCAGTCTATTTGTGCCTGGCCTATGAGGCAGACGCACTCCAACTTATAAAGAAATACCCCTAATCAATTGATTTTTATGACATGCTTGTTAGGTTAGGTGTGCAGTCAGCCTATATTCCCCCCCCCCCTCCCCGGAATTATATATCTCTGAAATTGTGTCCCTCTTACTTCTTTTGAAAAGGTAATTAAAAAAAAAACTATATTTCACTGTTATCTTCATTGAAACCATACATCTATATGTGTCTGAGACAATACATTTGTCTGTCACCCAAATCGTTAACTACTGTTATCTTCATTGAAACCATACATCTATATGTGTCTGAGACAATACATTTGTCTGTCTTCCAAATTGTTAACTACTGGTGTTAGTATTACAGGGGACGCCTCGGGTGCACTTATAAGTAAAAAAAGTAAAGGACCTTTTTCCACGCCTTTAGGCATATAGGGCTAGACCTATATTTTATAGACCAACTGGCACAAGATAGGTGATGTGGTCAGCATCACGCCGGCGGCCTCTACTTCCTGGGACTGCACTCGGTACTCACTCAAGGCTGGGTCCACCTGAGAGCCAAGGTCATTTTTTTTTAAAAGTCCAGCTCCGCCAGGTAGAGAAACCCACGGCGACTTCCGGGTGCACTTATAAGCAATGACTAAAGATACATCAGCAGTGGAGACAAAGAAGAAGCAGAAGACAGGATTTAAATACAGGGTTTTAGATCTTTATTTTTACTGGGCCTACATATGGTGCAGCGGTGGAGACCAAGATGAGGTAGGGGACGGGAGAGTAAGACTTTATTTTATTATCGCGGGCAATTAAATCTAGTATTTCCATAAAAGAGGCAAAGGCTGGTTCTTACCAACTTTGTGAGATTCACTATCACCGTCTGATGGTGAAAACTTATGTACAACATAAACTGTAGATTGGTGTTGCAGGCAATAGCTGGATAAGCTTTTGTTAGGCTTCAGCACCTGGCCAGCATAGATAATATCTGTATCAGAATAAAAAATGCTACACATTACTGAACGTGTTTATCATCAACAAATTTTAACAATAATGGGCTATCCTCCGAATAACGGGCACAAAAGATGGCGGCCAATGGCAGCAAAAAACAGGGCCTCAGTCACATGTCAACCGCGCACTTCCGACGACTTAATTTGCGGTTTTCCGGCGACTACCGCCACGAGTCCCCCACGCCACTATTGCGGAAGTGCGCAATTGACACGTGACTGAGGCTCTGTTAGGATGTTTTTGTGGCCGCCATCTTTTGTGCCCGTTATTCGGAGGATAGCCCGATAATGAAAGTGTTTCTGGAAAATCAGGCAGAAGCAGATTTTCGCAAATGTAGGTACAAGATGCACTGCCAATGAAAGTATACAGGACTGGAGAAATGGCTAGAGAAAGAGTCTTTCAGGCGTGCCGTGACGAGAGAGACATTCTGTAATGGACTTGCTGATTGATAATGAATGGCAGCATTTTATTTGTACTGTATTTTCTATTTATGTATTCTTAATATTGAGAGAAAAGAATATCTTTTTTGTTCTGCATTTACAGGCTGTATTGTTCATCCATTTGGACTTTGACTTTGTACCACGTCCTGACATGTGTGTACATCCAACTTACTAGCTTATTTGTGTGCAGTTCTTATTCCTTGCCTCTCAGGAAAGACGTTAATTTAGGATGACTGTAGTTACTTTTTCATGGGATGTGATGCTACCTTATTTGTATGATGCCCTATTTGTCCCTTTATCTACAGGTGTTACCCGTGGAGAACCCATCTGGAGAAACCATGTTTAGACTGGTCGGCCCTCAAGGAAAGGCAGGGGCAGATCAGGAGCACCACAAAATCAAAGGAGGTTTCCATTAATGCAGAGCTGACACATGACACTCTGGTCCTGGACTCAACTAAGGAATCATCACATCCTACACATGACTGCTTAACCTCACAACTATACGTTGAGCTTTCCACTCATCATGGGCTGTGCCCACCGGATTTTAGCAGGGAGCAGCCTGCAGGTCCAGGACTTTGATGACCACACAAATAGGAAATTTTTCTTCACTACAGTAGACACAGCTACTACTAGATTTAGATATCATCAGGAAAGCTGTTCCAGGCCCCCAGGGATCGTGATCTGTGGAGATGCATGAGCAACTACACCAGTTGGCAGGGCACATGATAACATTAGACACATTGAACACTGTCTCAACTGTTATACGACAGAATGGAAAAGCATGCATCAGGCTACACTTGTTAGGTCCCAACACTAGGGTGAGTGGGGCTAATGGTAATGGACATCTCAACCTGTCTGCCAATCAGTAGGATAGTTGATGGTTGGACATTTAACTTTGCTGATGTGCTACAGGACAGGTATTTGTAGGACATTTGAGCCTAACCAGCACACTAACAATGGCTGTCATGGTCATGGACATTCAGGGTCTACAGAAGATTAAGGAGACAGGATTTGGCTATCCTCTGAATAATGGTCCAAAATTATAAAGGCAGAAAATACACCCTAACAGGGCCTCAGTCACGTGTCAAATGCGCACTTCCGGGGACTATAAGGCCACCGCCGAATCACGAGCTTCTGGCGACTTCAGCCACCACCGAGAGTATTCCCCACACAGCGTGAGCGGCGTGGATTGGGGCTAAACTAGATGGCTAGGACTCATGAGCAAAAAAAATGAAGGAAGCTGCAGGAGATGCGGTAGGTGCTGCTCATGAGTCCCAGCCATCTAGTTTAGCCCCAATCCACGCTGCTCACATGGCGTGGGTGATACTCTCAACGGTGGCGGAAGTCGCCGGAAGTGCGAAATTTAAGATGACGGAAGTGCGCAATTGACACGTGACTGAGGCCCTGTTAGGGTATATTTTCCGCTTCGATAATTTAGGGCCGTTATTTGGAGGATAGCCCAGGTTTTTAATGATGGAAACCGCCCGCATGAGATGTTGCTTGTCTAAGCTGTGAGCAAATCTATTGGTCTAGGGCAGTGGCTCTCAACCTTCCGAATGCTGCGACCCTTTAATACAGTTCCCTCATGATGTAGCTTCTTCTTGTCTATATCAGCAATTTTGTTTCTTGTATACATTTCACTGTTGTTGTTAATTCATTCAGTGGTCCATAGAGTTTACGTTCCACTGTTGTTCTTTCTGGCCAAAAGGTTTGCCTTAATGTGTCAAATTCGGTGCAGTCCTGGAGTACACGCTCTGCTGTCTGGGGGCACCTTTCCACAGGTGCACATGGCTGATACGCCTATCTTGAATTTATTGTACATGTGGTTACGTAATTGGTTGTGCCCTGTTCTGAGGAGGAGGATAATGACTTGTTCTGATCTGTCCAAAATAAAAGTTGTCTTGTGCTGGGGCTGGTGGTTTCCTGATTGATTTAATGATTCTTTTCTTTTGGTGGTATGTGACTGGTACATCCGGCTGCACTTTTGTCGCACCTTCTCCTGCCAGTTGATCAGCTTTCTCATTTCCAGGCACTCCACAATGTGATGGTATCTACTGCATTACAACTCTTCGCTGAAGGCTTAGCTGTGTCAGCAGTGTTTGCAATTCTGGTAGTTTCCTAGACTGGAGTGCTTCAAGTATTGATTTTGCATCTGTCAGCATTACTACATACTGGGAGCCAAGATTGATATTTAGCAGTTTCTCTGTTGCTATGTTGAGCTCTACTTGAAATAACGGTTCTAAATAAACTACACAGAAAGTTAACCCAAACAGAGCCTCAGAACGCAGACAGTTAACCCAAACAGAGCCTCACACATATGTAAAAGTCACATTTCTTTTGCGGCGATTCAATCGTGTCAAAAGTAGTATTAACTGCGCACGACAGTTTCGCGGAACGCAACAGATTTTTTACGGCGATTAGATGACGGCAAAACAAGGATTAACTGCGGACGACAAAAAATTACCGACACGCGAGAATACTCCCGATACGGCAGGGTCCGAGTTATATGTAAGTGGCGGGCCGCTTTTCGCAACTATAGTGTCACCTCCGAGAGTATCCCCCGCGCCCCTACGCGTGGCGCGGTAGGGGCTAAACTAGATGGCTAGGACTCATGAGCAGCAGCTACCGCAGCTCCTGCAGCTTCCTCCAATGTATTTGCTCGTGAGTCTTAGCCATCTAATTTAGTCCCTGCCGCGCCGCGTGTAACGGCGCGGGGGATACTCTCGGAGGTAGCAAAATAGTCGCCAGAAAAAAAGTCAACAATTTACAGGAGCTACTTCGTCTGTCGGAAGTACCAGCACCATCGTTGCGGCTGCTGGTTTGACGTTGTCTGAGGCGACATACGCGTACATTAAAACTGATCACGTCTCGCTCGGAACGAGAATCGCGTACAGGCTTTGCGACATGCGCGTACATTACCCCGCGCATCAGAGCTGATCACGTCTGGTTCGGAACGAGATTCGCGGACAGGCCGTGCTGAGTTGCGATAGCGGACAGCGAGAAACAACAGATATTTAGCGCACTATTTGCAACCAGTATGCCACACTTTCCACATATCACGGATTTACTTTTTGGTAAGTAGTAGACTTTGCCCTTTTCCTGATACTTTCTGTTCCTTATATTTCCCGAGTTACAGCTTTTAAATGTTTGTAGGGCAGGACGTAATGAGGCTTTGTTTGGGATTAACTTTCTGCGTAGTTAATTTAGAACCGTTATTCCAAGTAGAGCCCTATGTTGATAGCCTGAGTTTCTGCATCATAGTTATGGCAGTACTTTCCGGTTGGTATGCTGTACCCACATATAATTATTTTCCTTCATTTTCCTACTCTAATGAATATGTGTTTTCTGATGGTCTTAGGCGACATATGCGAAAGGGTCGTTTGACCCACACAAAAAAGGGTTGCGACCGGCAGGTTAAAAAACCCTGGTCTAGGGCTAAGTTCCAGAAGTTAAGTTGTTTTTTCACTGTCATTCATTTGCGTCTTTATCAATGGCATACAATGGAGACGTGCAGCACAAGTTTTGCCTGATAACGTAAAATCAGCACAGAAAAGGCCGAGGTACTGCGTACTACTTGAGTTAATCATCCTTATGACTATAACACCTCACAACAGACCCAGATTTCGGCTCTACTGGTAAATTTGGCCGGTAAGCTGGACTGCTTCGGCCGGCTTAGCGGGGCTTAGTGGGAGTTACGTCCCTTGGCCAAACTCAAAACAAGTCGCGGAAAAAAGTCACGAATCAAACGGCATACTTACCTATCATTATCCGGGTGCGTGTAGGGTTGCGTAGGGTGTCTATCATCGTCCTACGGTTGCGTGTAGGGCTGCTTATTGCGTGTAGGGTTGGTTGTTTGCGTAAGATAGATGAGGAGTAGGGTTAGGGGTTAGGGTTAGCGTTTAGGGGTTAGGGTTTAGGGTTAGGGTTTAGGGTTAGAGGTTAGGGTGTAGGGTTTAGGGTTAGGGTTTAGGGTTAGGTGTAGCGTTAGATGTGACAATTGTGACGCCGCAGTTCCCTACAACCGCGCACAGTCGCATGCACGCGCAAACAGTCGACGGACGGTGGATGCTACTGACACGGACAATTCGCCACCGACTGGGGCACCAGCCGCCGCGCGCTATTGCCGTCATATGTGGCACACTTCCAGTGGCGCCACTCCCACAAGCATCAGATTGTCGGCCAGTATTTCCAACTCCTACGTGACTATTTTCACATCATCTAACCCTCCCCCTACCCCTACCCCTAACCCACACCCCTAACCCTACCGCTAACCCAAACCCTATGCAACCGAATGATGATGATAGACACCCTACGCAGCCCTACGCGCAACCGTATGATGATAGGTAACCCTAGACGCAACCCTACACGCACCCGGATGATGATAGGTAAGAATGTCATTTGATTCGTGACTTTTTCCGTGACTTGTTTTTAGTTTGGCGACGGGACGTGAAGGGACATAACTCCCACTAAGCCGGCCGAAGCAGTCCAGCTTACCGGCCAAATTTGCCAGTAGAGCCCAGATTTCTTAAGTTAGAGTGCC